GGGACCCCTGACCATTAGGTCCAGTCGTGACCGACTCTGGGGTTGCGGCGCTCATCTCGCTTTATTGGCCGAGGGAGCCGGCGTACAGCTTCCGGGTCATGTGGCCAGCATGACTATGCCGCTTCTGGCGAGCCAGAGCAGTGCACGGAAACGCCGTTTACCTTCCCGCCAGAGCGGTACCTATTTATCTACTTGCACTTTGATGTGCTTTGGAACTGCTAGGTTGGCAGAAGCTGGGACCGAGCAACAGGAGCTCACCCCGTCGCGGGGATTCGAACCACCAACCTTCTGATCGGCAAGTCCTAGGCTCTGTGGTTTAACCCACAGCGCCACCCAGTCACATAAATAGGGCACTGTTTGAATTGACCGTAGGGAGGCTCTGACTTTCCTTTCTTTTTTAAAAGAACTGTTACAACGAAAAATTCAGAACGGAGCATTAAGTTACATCTGTATAGATTTCGGGGAGGGAGAAGACGCTGGACGACTCTCTGCTGCCCCTTGGTGTTGAGGCTGGCAAGATCTAAGTGAGGGAAAGCTTTTAAAAAGTGCACAGTATAGAAATATGCTCTAATGTGGATGTTTCTGCACAAAGGAGATCCTTTATTTTTATTTCAATTTTTTTTAATTGATTTTCAAAAATTCAAAACAGACAGACAAACAAAAGAAACATACATACATCCTCCTTAAATCTTGGTAACATTATTAAGTGACTTCCTCAAATCCCCTTGGTTGAATTTCATTGTATATCATTTTAACAGTTTTCCAAAATCGATTTTCTCAAAAAATTAACTTGATCACTTAACATCTTTCATTCTTTCTAATTTAACTTTAAACATCTTAAATCTTCTCCTTACATATTTGAATCCTAAGCCTATCTATTATTTGCAAGCTTTTCCAATTAAGTTATCTTAACATATTTAGCTAAATAGTCTTTAAATTTCATCCATTCTTCCTGATACTCCTCCTCTTTCTGGTCGCAGACTCTTCCACTCAGGTCAGCCAGCTCCGAAAAGTCCATCATCTTCACCTGCCGATCTTCCACTGTTGGTATATCTTGTGTTTTCCAATTCTTCGCTAACAAAATTCTTGCTGCAGTTGTGGCATACAAAAATAATTTAACATCTTTTTTTGGCAATTCCAAACCTTAAAGGAGATCCTTTAGACAAGGGCAATGGATGGTTTTGTTTTGAACGAGTGCATTAAGTCAAATGTGTTGTAGCTCCTCAGCTCTACACTCAATAGGTTGCGCTGTTTTTAATTAAGTTTTCAAAGGCACAATATAGACCAGAATAAACCCTCTGTAGCACCACGAATCCAACTCAGTGGTGTAACGTTGGAAAATGCCCATCACTTCTCCTACCTAAGCAGTTATGCATTTTAAATAAAAGGGCACATTCTACCCATGTGAAAACACGCTGATTCCTGGACCGTCTGCAGGCCGGATTTAGAAGGCGATTGGGCCGGATCTGGCCCCTGGGCCTTAGTTTGCCTACTCATGATCTAAAGGTCTGTCAGCTTGTTTTCTCCTGCCTGCGAGGGCAGGACTCGAACCAATGGCTTCAAGTCACAAGAAAGGAGATTCCACTAAACATCAGGAAGAACTTTCTGACAGTGGAACTCTTCTTCCTTGGAGGCTTTTAAGCAGACTGGATGGCCATCTGTCATGAATGCTTTGGTTGAGATTCCTGCATTGCCGGGGGCTGGACTAGATGATCCTTGGTGTCCCCTTCCAACTCTGCAAGTCTACGATTCACCAGTGAAAGACGCCAGTTTCACGTCTTGGCATTTCAAGGCATGGCTCCCATTTGAAGCCCGAGTGAGCTACTTATCCATCAGTGCTGCAAGCTAGAAAAACCTACAGAAGGCGGCTTTCTTTTATACCATTCTTACCTCTCTCTTCTCTTTTTTTGTAATCATCATCATCTAGTAAATTACACAGGAAATAGAGAGGAGTTATACAGGCACCCATCCTAATTCAGTGGCTGATCTATAGGTAAGGTAAAGGGACCCCTGACCATTAGGTCCAGTCGTGACCGACTCTGGGGTTGCGGCGCTCATCTCGCTTTATTGGCCGAGGGAGCCGGCGTACAGCTTCCGGGTCTTGTGGCCAGCATGACTAAGCCGCTTCTGGCGAACCAGAGCAGTGCACGGAAACATCGTTTACCTTCCCGCCGGAGCGGTACCTATTTATCTACTTGCACTTTGACGTGCTTTCGAACTGCTAGGTTGGCAGGAGCAGGGACCGAAGAACGGGAGCTCACCCCGTCGCGGGGATTCGAACCGCCGACCTTCTGATCGGCAAGTCCTAGGCTCTGTGGTTTAACCCACAGCGCCACCCGCGTCCCATGGCTGATCTATAGCTGATGGGGAAAAGATTCCAGTGACCTCTAGGAACAGAATCTGCCTTAAACAGTCAGGCCACTAATCCACTAAGCTCAGCATTGTCAACACTGGCAGTATCTCTCAAAGTTTTTAGACAGGTTTTCTCAGCCCTACCTGCAGATTGCAAGGGCCAAGCCTGGGCCCTTCCCTGAGCAAAGCATGCTGTACCGCTGAGGTGCAGTTCTTTCCTCTGGCAGATCTTATCCATTTCACTCCGCATTCCCACCACCCACAATTCAAGACCTGCAACATGCGTATCAGCAGGATCTGGCCCCATCCATAGAATCATAGAGTTGGAAGAGACCACAAGGGCCATCGAGTCCAACCCCCTGCCAAGCAGGAAACACCATCGGAGCACTCCTGACATATGGTTGTCAAGCCTCTGCTTAAAGACCTCCAAAGAAGGAGACTCCACCACACTCCTTGGCAGCAAATTCCACTGTCGAACAGCTCTTACTGTCAGGAAGTTCTTCCTAATGTTTAGGTGGAATCTTCTTTCTTGTAGTTTGGATCCATTGCTCCGTGTCCGCTTCTCTGGAGCAGCAGAAAACAACCTTTCTCCCTCCTCTATGTGACATCCTTTTATATATTTGAACATGGCTATCATATCACCCCTTAACCTCCTCTTCTCCAGGCTAAACATGCCCTTAGCCGTTCCTCATAAGGCATCGTTTCCAGGCCTTTGACCATTTTGGTTGCCCTCCTCTGGACACGTTCCAGTTTGTCAGTGTCCTTCTTGAACTGTGGTGCCCAGAACTGGACACAGTACTCCAGGTGAGGTCTGACTAGAGCAGAATACAGTGGCACTATTACTTCCCTTGATCTAGATGCTATACTCCTATTGATGCAGCCCAGAATTGCATTGGCTTTTTTAGCTGCGTGTCACACTGTTGGCTCATGTCAAGTTTGTGGTCTACCAAGACTCCTAGATCCTTTTCACCAAACCATCTTTGGAGATACAGCAGTGGAACAGCCTTTTTGCTGGGCCTCAGCCCACTGCAAGCAAATTGGATCTATTCACTGCCATGTGCACGATTCAGCCTTCAGCCGGCATTGCAGTTTATGGCACAAACACGCAAACTGAATGCAGAATCCTGCGTTGACCAGCTTGGCCAAGGATTTCACAGGAAACAACAAAATTTACTAAGACGATGGTAAAGGAGGATGCTCTTCTTTCTTTCCACCAGCAGAGGAGGCTGAAGGTAAATAAATCTCTCCTTCAGGAACAAGAACTGAATAGTTCACATGTACATTTGACAGAAAGCTGCCATCATGTTTTTAAAAAACCCAAACAAACAGGGTTGTGCTTTCGATATTCTAATTACAGTATAAGAATCAAGTTTGGGCATAAAAATACACACTGCCCTGTCATTTGGAGGATCCAGGAAAATCTACAGTGGTACCTTGGGTTACATACGGTTCAGGTTACATACGCTTCAGGTTACAGACTCCGTTAACCCAGAAATAGTGCTTCAGGTTAAGAACTTTGCTTCAGGAAGAGAACAGAAATTGTGCTCTGGCGGTGCGGCGGCGGCAGGAGGACCCATTAGCTAAAGTGGTGCTTCAGGTTAAGAACAGTTTCAGGTTAAGTATGGACCTCCGAAACGAATTAAGTACTTAACCCGAGGTACCACTGTAATTGTTTTGAACCCAATTATTTTGCCAGAATCTTCAGAGAAGGCTTTTTCAGGGTTTCGCTTCCCAATCCTTTCCCAGAGATTGTACTCCCAAATCTGGCATGTCCAACAAGAAGTGAAACTACATAAAGAGTAGGGTGTGGAGAGCTTTTGGCACCGCAAGATCAGCAACAACAAAACCACTGCCACCCAAAAATGGTGTAGTAGCCAAAGTAGAGGATTAACATGCCCCATTCAGGATTCATTCGATTGCTTCTAGCAGTTATCCCCTCCTGAGCACTGAGAAAAGGAGAGAGAGAGAGATAACACGGGCCCAGTTCACTTGGAGATCACCCAAAAGAAATGATGTTCTTAGTATTATAAATATGGCTGTCACAGGCAAACTGGGCATCCGCCTCTAAAGGCACACACACTAGACATGGAGGGCGGACCAAGTTGCCAAACACCTTTAGGCTCTGAAGATTCCCATGCAGGTTCTCTCGTGAGTGCCTGCACAGAGATCACAATGGGGCGGCTTTAGCCTTAGCTCCTACCCTCTCTCCATGCCATTTCTAAATGTAGAAGCGAAACCTGGAAACATTAGAAGTTGTGACTGGTCTCAGAGCCCCATGGCATTTGTTGGGGAAACTTATGTGGCGACCTTCGGATATCGCTGGACAACATCTCCCATCTGAGAGGCATGACATGGGCTACTGCTGCTGTATTTTCAAGTGATGTATCTCCCAGCCTGGGGCCTTCCAAGGTTGGGGGTGACGCACGTTTCAGTCCGAAACCTCTCGAGGGCAAGACATTGGAAAAGGCTAGTCTACTGAATGTCTGAACATCCATGCCCCCTTCCCCCATCACTAATTTAGGGGTTTACCACTTTAGAGGTTTTCCTATAGTAAGCACTCTGCCTTCACGCCCACTTACGTTTTTTTTGTCAACTCCAAACATCCGCACTCATCTCTCACACATAGTAAAGATCAGAGTCAAAAAAAGTATCACAAAACGAAACAGGATTGTATTTTACAGCTTCTTACTATGTACAACCATCATTGGTTCATGTTTTTTTAAAAAAACCAACCAAGGTTTCATCCAGAAACACACAAGATATATCTTAACACAGAAGACGTTTTGGGAAAAGGAATGGTGTCAGGGGTGCTGGATTGTGACATCTGGGGATGGGAAAGCTTTGGTGTGTTGTGGGAGGGACTCAAGCTGGGATTTATTTTTTTAAAAATCCATCTACACGACAAAAAGGCTTTCATCCAAGGCAGCCACACACGTCCGTCATTGGGACATATTTATGCAAGTTCCAGTGAAATGAATGGGAGGTTCACACGTACCTGCGGGGACAATTGTGTTGCACCCATTCATTTCACTGGGACGTGCGCAGGTGACATTCCTGCTGGGCTTTGTGTACAACCCACAGACCTCGCTGACCCACCTCTGTCCTCCCAAAAAGCTGCCTCTTCTGTTTGACATGGAAAGGGGTTTCCTTCTTGCTTTTCCAGCCTTATGCCACCGACTTCTATGGTTAAGCATGCGGACTGCAAAGTCTATTTTCAACTGCTGTTCTACTCCTGCGATACCTTTCTCTTAAGATGACATGTCTTAATTCCGGAGAGAGAAATTTAATAATTGACAAAATAGTCTCTCTACTTTAATGTAGCTAAAGGCATTTTGTTGAAGTTCTGTCCTAACCCCACTGAGCTCCAAACAGGTCTCATCCTGAAGTCAACCTTTTCAACTTTTGCCTTTCTACTGCCATCTGTGGGTCTTTGAGCAATCGTTGCCTTTCAGGCATCGATGGGGTCACATCTACGCAGCAAACCTGAACTGGTTTCAACATCATAGCTTCCCACACAAGAAGCTCTGAAAACTCCGGAAAAGGTCTTAGACTTTCCTTAAAGATCCCTAACATTCTCTGTCAGAGAGAATCCCCCTTGTGGAACACCAGGACAGCTAAACTTGTTTGAAAACAGGTTATATTTCACTGTTTGTGTTCCGCAGGCTGCCATGCCCTAAACAGCTAGGAGTCACTTTCATCGAGGACACAGTAAGACAAACTGAGTATTGGAAAACTAAAAAGGCTCAGTTGCTTTTCAGAGGTAACACACCAGGTGGAGTCCAGGCAGAGTGAAATAAAATGCTTGCCAGCTGACAGGCCAAGGTTTCCACTATTCATGCTTCAGGATGGCCAAGGTGGTAAATAAAGCTCTCTCCCTACACAATCGTTATTTTGCTCATTAAGAAGCGCTTGGGGGAGGGACTGGCTTTCCTTTTAAACCTGACCAGGGAAAAAAGTCACCCCCTTTTCTCTGCCCTCCAGACTCCTTCCAGGAGCCATAGCCTGCGGGGACGAAGTCCAAGGGGGCAAGCCAAGCAAAGAGGCCACGGCGTGGCTCAACAAAGCCTCCTCTCCCCTCTAGAAGGTGTTCTTTATCTTGGCCGCCACCAGCACCAGGATCTCCCCAATCTTGCTCTGCCAGTTGCTGATGTCCTTGGAGACCTCACACCACAGCTCTCCGTGGCGCGGCTCTGCGTTTTCACAGCGCTTCCTCACCTCCTCTTGCTGCTCCTGCAGGGAGAAAACAGAAAACAGCAGAGGAATCAGCTTTAACCATTGACGTCCAGAAGGATCCCCAAGAACGGTGCAATTCTAGATATCTTTACTCAGAAATGAAGTCCCACTGCACTCTGTGAGGCTCACTCACCAGTATGTGCATTTAGGACTGCAGCTTAGAAGGAAGCACATGTTTCTTCCTAAACTCTGACCTGTTATGTGGGTTCAGTTTCCCTGGGCTGAGAAGGCCAATCCACCCCTCTCTATGAATTCCACAGTCCTCAGTCATGTGCATTCAGTTGCTGAAATGACTGGCAGTGTTGGGGCCAATGGAAAAGCTCACCGTTGCAAAGGGGATGCCCTGAGATCAGCCCGAGGAGTTGTGGAACCACAGGCCGGGAGTACTGCACCCTGCTTCCACGTATGAAGTAGCAGGTACATTGCACAGCACGTCCTTTTTTTAAAAAGGGCTTTGCCAGAGAACGGCTGAAGCACTTGAAAGGAAGGGAGTGACATCCATCAAGAAGTGCTCTTTCGAGAAAGGCAAGCCCTGTCCAAGGGGAGAGATACGGAGCAGGTGAAGGAACTCCCATGAGATCCTTGCTCACCCTCCCCAGAAGATCACTGAAGCGCCTTCCCAAGAAACATGGAATCCTGCTCAGCCTCAACTTTTGCAGACTTGGAAAGGGAAAGTAGCAGGAAACTGAGGTGCCCCAAATCAGCAAAATCTCCTCAGCGGGTCCAATTAAAGATTGGCAGATCCCTTGAAGTTACCTCTGTGCCATGCTGAAGCTCGAATTTGTAGAAGAAAGCCCAGGCGTCCCCTAGGTCAGAATCGATCTTCACTGTCCGATGGAACCACTCACGAGCCTTGGTTATTTTACGTTCACTCCAGAACAACCTATGGAGGAAAGAGAGTTAAAGAAGTAGGTGAGCTGGGGAGACCAGCAACACCATTCTGATAACACATTATGCATCGGGGCATTTGCCTTGACCAGTATCTAGTCACACAGCCTATGCAGAGGAAACAACTTTTGGAAAGCTCTTCAGAATATTATATTGGCCTTTGCAAGGAGATAAAATGCAAATGCTAAGCTGCCTTTTAAAAGATGAGTCACTACAGGGAAAGCAGTAAATCATCTCTAGCCGAGCCAGAAAGGACCCTCTTTAGTTTATTTGTGCAATGCTCATCCACCCTGCAGCACTCCATTCAACACCTGCACAGCAGTCCCATCAACGAGGGATAGAGAAAGAGCGACCCTCCAAATGCTGCCGGGACCCCAATATTTATCAGCCGCAGCCAGCATGGCCAAACTGACAGTAGCTGAAAGCCCAATAATACCAGGAGGGCAATAGGTGCCCCAACTCTGCCGCAAACACACAAACAGACCTAACTTGGCCTGCTGCCAACAGGCAGGGGGATTAGGAAATGGAAGACTGTTTAGATTGCCGATCGAACGAACGATGGGCACAGTGCCGCAGAAGTGGTTCCTGTGCGTGCCCCGTGGAAATGAATGGGAGCTGCGTCAAGAGACACGCTTGGTGGACTGTGTACAATGCTGAAGTCTGCAACCAAATGAGATCCCCTTCTCCAACAGAGCACAGCTGTTAGCTACGGAAAATCCACCTGGGAAGCAGCCAGGCACAGCTGTGGAGGGAGAACTAAGGGCTATGCTTAATTCCAGAGCTTTTCAGCCTGCATGTTCTAAAAATCTGCTTGTGCACTTTTAAGATTTGTCCCCCAATGAACCAGCTGCACTGGCTTTTGTTTTGTTGTGTTGTGACAGGGATCAATTTATGCACATCAAAAGACAGGCTCAGTCAAGACCAACAAATCTCAGTTGCTGTGATTTGATAGAAAGGTTGCCTGCAAGTCTGAGCTGCATGATTGCGGCTTTGGATTGCGGCTGATAAGAGGAAAGAAACACTACCTGTAAGATTCACACCTGATGCTCTTGAAAGTCATTTGAAAGCCCATGGATTATGATGGGTTGCACCATATCACAGGGCAGGGACACAGGTCACTAGGGCAATGAAATATTGCTTAGATGACCAGCAAAAGCTAGACGGTTTTTGTAGAGAACTACATGAACTCATTTACCCTGAAATCTCTCAGGAACCTACCCATTTGTCTTGGAGTTTAGACTCTCCAAGCCAAGCATTCCAGTGGTTTTGAAAATTTCTATCTCCATTCGTGCAATTTTCTAACCCTTTTGCTATCTTTAATCCATCTGCCCTGGGATTTTTTAAGTTAACAAAGTTGGGGTGGAATCATTTCAAAGATACATGTACAGCCAAGTAAACCTTGAGCAAATTTAACTTATCATAACAAATTAGTAGTGCTGATCGGGTCATGTACTAAACAACCCCACTCCTGAGTGTCTGTAGCAGAACGCGAGCAAACTGCAGGCGGTTCTGAGGGGCAAATGCTCCAGCGCCATGGGGCAATTCTGGCCAGGTCTGTTGGGTCTGTATAGGGAGAGCATGCTAGAGCACAGCCAATGCTCCCTAGTGCGTTAACAGGGGAATATCAGGAGGGAAAGCTGCCCTTGTGAGAAGACTGTGTCCACCTCTACTCATTTTCCATTCAAGGAAAACTCCCGATATTCTCAGAACACAGTTTCAAAGCCATTGCAGTACTTGATAATGGCTGACAAATGTGCTAAAAGCATTCCTGTGTAGACAGGCATATCAAGTTGCTTAACAGCTGAGGGAATTTTAACCTGTTTTAATATTTAAACTTTTGCACATTTTCAAGAAGGGTAGTGAATTTACTGTTTTATCTCTTTGTAAATCACTTCAATTGTGTGTTTGTTTTTTTACAATCAAGCAGTGTATAAATTTTATGGAATTAAATAAGCAAGTAAGTAAGTAAACAAATAAGCCAATGTCAGCCACTCCAGCATAGGCATCAAAATCAAATCATATGCAGTTTGCTTCAACGTATTAAAAGCTGCTCAAGCTGGAGATCCGGGATTTGTACAATGCTTACTGACTGTTTTTAACACAACACATAATTTTTGTGATTTACCACAAGTCTTTAAAAATGGGAAATGTTTTCTCCAGAAATGGGGAGTATGAAAGGAAAAGGGGAAGAAGAGCTGTGCAGAGCATGTGCTGACCGCTCCTAACTTCATGCAACTTCTTGATCGCTCAGCCTTTAAGCAAAGTCCACCAAGGGGGGCCTGATCTTTCTGAACTACTTAGGATTCCAGACTTTTCTTATCCAAAGAAGGCTTTACAAACCCTGCAAGTCAGATTGCAAAGCAGACGCCGTTACTCACTTGGCCACAGCAAGGAGGACGTGGGGGTCGTGCTCACATTTCTTCAAAGCGTCCACACTCTTGGTCTTCCTCTGGGGTCTTGCCTCTAGGAAGATTGCTTCCGACCACAGGATTCCTAAGAGTCAAAGAAGGTTGAAGTCGCACCAGGTAACAGACAATGGCAAGCTGCTATTGCTTACTCACAGCAGGTATTATAACCTTCTAGCCAGGAGGCTCCCACACACACAAAAAGACTCCACCGTTTTAATTTAGGTAGTTTTGCATACATTTGCTGTCAGCAGATGCTCAGTACTTCTGCATCTCTCTGAAGACTAAAACCTCTGCAGGTGCTAATACTGGCAACACAAACAGAAGGGATTAGATTGCTGAGATCCCCAAACTGAACAGTGTGCTTCTGAATGATGCTTCTCACCTGTCCCTTTTTGCATGTCCCTGCTCAGAAGCAACCTCGCCAGGTGGAGTGGAGCTGAAACGTGAGCTTACCAGTAGGCCCTTCATAGCCTAAGACCCTCGTACCTATGGGACCGCCTCTCCTGGTATGCCCCACGGAGGACCTTAAGGTCCATAAATAGCAACACCTTAGAGGTCCCGGGCCCTAAGGAAGTTAGATTAGCCTCAACCAGAGCCAGGGCCTTTTCAACACTGGCTCCGGCCTGGTGGAACGCTCTGTCTCATGAAACCAGGGCCCTGCAGGATCTGATTTCTTTCCGCAGGGCCTGTAAGACAGAGTTGTTCCGCCTGGCCTTCGGCTTGGAATCAATTTGATTCCCTCCCCCTCTTCTTTTTTCCTTTCCCCTCCTGTGATGGAACTCCTATGTGGGGACTTCCCTGGCTTTTTTCTGGCCCATGTAGGACCAGTCTGGAAAGTTAGCCTTTGTGAAGACTTGACGTTTTCATCCCGAAAAAAGTTTTTGATTTGAGTTTCCATTGAAATGAGGCTGTATTTTAATATTTTAATGTTGTATTTTAATCTTGTTTTTAAGTTGTATTTCAATCAATTTGCTTTTATATCGGGTGTTAGCCGCCCTGAGCCCGGTCTTGGCTGGGGTATAAATAAAAATTATTATTATTATTATTATTATTATTTGAACCCCTGTTGCTTCCTGGGGAGGGGAGGTTGGGATGGTGATGGGGAGGTTGGTGTGATGCAACCACACTGGAACAGCCAATGCAACACTCAAGCACTGCGCTGACGTCCCCACCGGCTCATTCCCCCAGGAAAGCAACAGTGACCCTTTGTACCTGCCAGGAAGCTAGCATAGCAGCTCTGCACCAATTGGTGAGACATTTTTGCAACTGTGGAGCAAAATTCCTTGCACCAAGAGGTCTCTCTAGCAGCCCTCTTGATTAAACTTCTGCAATTGTAAGAACTGTTTGGCCTGAATTTTGTTTTGACTCTTTTCCCGCTGTGCTTTCTAACAAGCTTGAGTTTTATCGCTGTTTTTCCATACTTGATTTTTTTTTTAAAAAAAATGTTATCATAGGCAAGTTTTAATCTATGGTGTTGTGTTCAAGGAGGGAGGGGGAGAGAGAAAGATGAAAAGAAATAAACTTGGGGGAAGGGCCGTAATTCAGTGGCAGAGAATTTGCTTTGCATGTAGAAGGTCAGAGGTTCAACACTTGCCATCTTCAGGTAGGGCTGGGAGATTCCCTGACCGAAACCCTGGAGAGCTTCTGCCAAGCACTGTAGACAATACTGAGCTAGGTGGACCAGAGGTCTGACCCAAGGGAAGTAAAAAATCAACACATAAAGGGCGAGGGGGAATCCAAATAGCAAATCGTGAAATCCAGCAACTCGGAGCATGACACCCTGTTTTGTGGAAGGAAGCAACACAGGCAAGCTGCCCATTTGGGGTTGGGCTGAGGGGGAAATATCCCATGTGGGCTGGGAGGGGCTTGGTTTGTATTGCGGCCACCACCCCATCTGGATAGCCAGGATGAGCTCAAGCAGCACACCTGAATCCTGCAAAGCAGACCTACACAGATGTGCTTTCATGACTCTTTGTTTTAAAGCAGGCATAGGCAAACTTGCCCTCCAGACTACAATTCCCATCATCCCTGAACACTGGTCCTGTTAGCTAGGGATGATGGGAATTGTAGTCCCAAAACATCTGAAGCGCAGAGTTTGCCTGTTTTAAAGGGCTTTATATCCTACATCTGCAACCAACCCACCCTCCCCAAATCAGCCCCTTCCTTCATTTAATTACTACGTAGATAAAAAAAAATTTTTAACATCCCGGTGATTACTACAAAAGAACATTTATTCAGTCACTGCATTCATTTCTCAACATTCAAGGACTAAGAAATAAGCCCCGGTGGGCTGAACTGACCGTTTTCAATCTCTTTATTTGCTTAGTATCAAAGGAGGGCTTTTTCTCCATAGGAGGCGGCTTGGCATAGAAGATAAGCGTTAAGGTTGCTCTGGGCACTTTTGGTGTGGGCAAGCCAGCCATTCATTAGGACCACCCATAGAGAATTTTAACTGCCACAGATAGACCCACACAGAGCCTCTCTCAAGAATCAGCTCTCATCTCTTCAGAGATAAGCAAACAAGACTGAGTACAAGCCTCCAGAGGGAGATGTGTCAGGAAACTGAAACATGCACCATCTGGTAGACGTCTGATGAGTTTCGAAGGAGAATGAGGCCTAGGTAGACTGGGGCTTAGTGGACCAGAAAGAGGCATGGCAATGTCAAAGTTCAAACCCATGGATTGCCCAATATCTATTGGCATTGAGGGAATAACCACAGATCCTGCTCACACTTTATGATTGTCCTAATGGCCAGGACAGGGGAAAGGATGCTATGGAAGTACAAACTGCAGACAGGTATCATGTGAGGGGGGGCCTCACACAGTATGAAGGGTGGGCACACTGAGCTTGCTTTAGTGCCAGCTGGCCTAAAGTTGCGGTGCTAATTGAGAGGGTTGTGTTTTTAAAAGAAGTCAACTCAAAGGTTAAGCAAAGGCCAACACGCGAAAGAGAAACGACCCCTCTGTCACCTGAGTTGGGACACTCTTGCAGAGCCTTGGCCATCAGCGTATTGGCGATGTTCTTCAGTCCAGCTCTGTATTCTAATCGCACGGATTCCAACCTGCGGGAGGGAAGAGCACGACGTTTCAAGGTTAGCGAAGCTGCAGGAGATTTCTAAGAAATGAAAGACACGGAATCTCCATAGGCTCACCACAGGTCTTGGTTCTTTGGATTCTTTAAGCGAGACTTCTCCAAGATGGCTCTGGCTCGGGTGAGCTGGCCGACCTTCTCCTCCAGCCTGGACAACAGCAGCCAAAGGGGTATGGAACCAGGGCATTTCTTCAGCTGTTTGGAAGGGAATAAAGCCTTACTCAAGAAGCCACAACTGTGCACATAATTGTAGCCACAGACACTTCGGTTGCTGAAAAGACCTGTGGCTACAAACTGTATTTATTGGATTGGACTCTTTTCACGGCAGGAGGAATTATCTCTGAACCATCATGGAATGGGGGTGGGGAAAACAAGAATTTGTTTGTCCTTAGGCAACTGTTTCCGTTAACAAGTCCAAGCTGGGCACGTCTATAGAGAGTCTGGTTTATCGATCAGATACTTAAAGAGCAGCCTCGCTAGTCAGTCACTTTCCCGGAACAACTCATTAATCCTCACGGACAACATCTGTCCGAGCCAAACAGTAACGCAAAAGCATGCAAGAATTACTGGGGTGGGAGTGAGAGAAGAACTGCTGGCATGCCTGATAAAACGTTGACACCGACTGCAAGGTTGATGCAGTGGCTGCAATGGTCTGAGCCAGGAGCCTGACCTCTGATGCTCCTGTTTGGCTTTCCACAGGGATGCTCGACTGCAGAGGCTACTGCTGGAGCTTTCCATCTTCTCCCCAAGGAATGAGGAAGAGGTGGGGAAGAGGAAAAGGAAGCAGGTTGTGCCCTTACCCCTTGGTTATAGGCATCTCGGGCTTTTTCTATCAGCTCCTCCTGCTCCTCTATTTGCCCCTTCATCATCCACAGCTTAGGGAAGTCTTCGTAGTGCTTCAGCGCTTCCTCGCAGAGCTCCTGAGCTGCAGCAATGTTCCCAAGAACCCACTCGAGTTTGACAGACTTCATGAAGACCTAAGAGGATGAAGGTGAGGGGAAGAGAGAGATCATCTCAAAGACTGTCACAGCCAGACCACACGTATTCCAGTCCAAACACACCCACAGCTTGCGAGAGCTATTATGCCCCATAAATACCGTATTTTTTGCTCTACAAGACTCACTTTTTCCCTCCTAAAAAGTAAGGGGAAATGTGTGCACGTCTTATGGAGCGAATGCAGGCTGCGCAGCTATCCCAGAAGCCAGAACAGCAAGAGGGATTGCTGCTTTCACTGCGCAGCGATCCCTCTTGCTGTTCTGGCTTCTGGGATTCAGAATATATTTTTTTTCTTGGTTTTCCTCCTCCAAAAACTAGGTGCGTCTGGTGCGTCTTATAGATCGAAAAATACGGTAAGTTTTTGTACTGTTTGGTTGCTCATTTCAACTGATTTAATCGAGTTTCTACTGGACAATGAACACTTGGGAAGCAAGATGTTTAAAATATTAAAAAGCAACTCAAGCAAAACTATTGAAAAGACCCAGACTGTAACTGGTCCCAGAGCGGATGCTTCCCCTTGTAATATGTCACAGGCTCAATCCCCAGCACCTCCAGTTGAAGGACTTTAAGGATGAAGGATTGGAAAAAGACCCTTTGCTCAAACCATCACCATTAGACTAGACAGAGAAATGTGTCCAGGTCTGTAAAGGTGGTTTCATACATTCACTGGGACCTGGGTGGTGGTTTCAATGCTGAAATACCCTCAGAGCTACGCATGGCTTACCCTGGCTGTTGGGGCACTGCTACGAGCCTTGGCCAACAACCTCCTTGCTCTTTCGTATTCGTTATTTTCAGATTCCAACTTCACAGCAGCCAGCCAAATCTCCTCGCTGTTCGGGTTGGCCTGAATAATAACAGAAGGGCAGACAAATATACGTAAAGGAAAGCAGTGGTGGGCGTTAAAAGGATGTTGCTTCTTCGAAATCCACCAGCCCTGTTCTTGCTCTATTCCATTAGAGGTAGCAAATCATTTTCTTCACAGAGTGTGGTGCATGAAAGCCCAACACTACACAGTCCTGTTGGCAGTTCAGGAATCAGATACCACCTTCTGATTTGCTCAGTGGAAGCTGCCAATGGATCTCTGATGGATGAGCTACAGTGCTGAAATGGCACACTCACCAAACACGGGGTTTATTTATTTATTTCTCGTGCCAATATCCCACCACTCCTCCCAGTGTGTGTGTGTGTGTGTGTGTGTGTGTGTGAGAGAGAGAGAGAGAGAGAGAGAGAGAAAGAGAAAGAAATGTGGGGCCACTACACACACACAAACAATTTTACAAAAATTAAGAACATGTAATTTTCCTAATAATGATTTGCAAAACATGACAGGCCTCATCAAGGAGACACACAGAGTAATAATAATAATAATAATAATAATTTATTATTTATACCCCGCCCATCCGGCTTCCCCAGTCACTCTGGGCTGCTTCCAACAAAATATTAAAATACAGTAATGCATTAAACATTAAAAGTTTCCCTGAACAGGGCTGCCTTCAGATGTCTTCTAAAAGTCTGGTAGTTGTTGTTCTCTTTGACATCTGGTGGGAGGGCGTTCCACAGGGCGGGCACCACTACTGAGAAGGCCCTCTGCCTGGTTCCCTGTAACTTGGCTTCTCGCAGTGAGGTAAGTGCCAGAAGGTCCTTGGTGCTGGACCTCAGTGTCCGGGCAGAACGATGGGGGTGGAGTCATAGATGCATGGCTCTCTGTTTTATGGCCCCACTCAACTTACATCACTTTTGCTTCAAATGGGACAAGGCAGCGATGCCAACCTCCTCTTTCCAATGGGAGCAGCGGTGGCAGCACTGTGGACTTTCCTTGTCTGACCAGGCCAGCAACAAAGCAAACGCTCTTTCTTTTTCACACTTCCTTCAGGTTCCTTCCTTGGGAACCTCAAAGCGAGCGGCTGCTGGCTCAGGCACTTTCCCTCCAGGCAAAGTGCTTTTAAACAAAGGCATTTAAACAAGCAAATGACTACTCAGAAATATTTGTCTGTCAATCCTGAGAATTCATTAGCACACTCAAAACAGGGCTCTTCAAATAAAACAATCCGGCTGGCAGTTTGCCTATGAGCAGCAGAGTATGAAATATGTTCACTACTGGCTTCTGATCACCAGTTCTGGCACAGAAAACCACACAAGATCCAGGCTCAGTCCCCTGATGCCGTGGCCTTTGTCACACTAGAAGGGAGAAGTGGGCAGGTGCAATTTCTAATAACGCAAACAAGTTCATCGAGATGTACAGGCAGCACTGGGGCAGACCTGAAAACAGCCACTTGCTTGGGGTGAGCAAGAATCTCCTCAAAGTGATCAAGCACAGATGCTTGTGTAAAATGGAGAAGAAATTAAAGTTCTCCCATGTCCTGCGTGACAGGCCCAACCCTCAAAAAATGGTGTTGACCTTTTGGCAAGGCTACCTTCATCCCTGTAATGTTGCAGGAAATGATAAAACATATTGACACTCTGCATGCGGAACTGACTCCCCAGAGGCCCACCTGCTGCCAACACAATAATCTGTTAGGTATCAAGCATTTTTCTTTCCCCCAGAGCTTTTAATGCATTTTTTATTTTTTGTATCTTTATCTCGTTTTTCTAAACCACTCTGCATGCTCCACTGAAGGGTGATATATAAATCTTTAAAATTCAACTGTTTCTTGCAAAAAGCAGTCACTGAGAAAGGCTGCTCAGGGCTGAAGCACTTGCGATAAAGATTAAGCAATATGCTTAATCTTTTATCCAAGTTTCCAAGAGACTTAATGAAAAGACCAAAATATTGGGTAAAGAAAAGTCAGGGTATTACAGCCAACATTTTATTCAAATATGAAGGGCACATAGTGGATTATCTGGATTCTGGTGATTAAGAAATTTCAGCTATAGGATCCCGCTGCATTTCGTTGTCATGGGACAAAATACAATCCCTCAACGCAGAGAACACTTCTTGCTTGTAGCATCACGTCTTGTCCCCATGATAATGGACACAGCGAAGGCCACGCAAAGAGATGCACACTCACCTGGAAAGCCAAAGCCAGGATACTCCTGGCGGCAGGGACGTCTCCAGCAAGCCATTTCGATTTGGCTCCCATGAGCCAGAGGACTTCGGCTTTGGGGCAGTGAGCCACGGCCCTCTGCAGGAGAGCCTCCAAGGATTCCCTGCAGGGACGAACAAGAGCACCAGTGACCCAGAACGCTGAGCTCCGCGTATTGTCAGCCAGTATTAGCCATTGCTACCGTCACAAGAGCCCAGAGCCATAACCTTTCCTCACTCATTTCATCAAGGAGGTTTCAGGAAATGCTGTACCACGACACAAACCGCTGCCCACTTAAAACTACAAAATCAGCTTCTGGAAAACACTCTCCAATGTGGTTCATTGGAAAAGGTGAGTAATAAGAAGCAGAGCAAGGATAGCTCGCACTTTCCAGAAGACACTGCCGATAAGCATCTTTCAAGCCATCTACTTAACATATTACGGATCACAGTACCCAATACTTCTTTAAAAAATGAATCTGTCAGATGGCAAGGGTAGCTGCTCACGAGTAACCAGGCAGGACTCCGACCTGTCTTTTACCGGTTTTATTTAGGTGCAAACTATTTACAGTGCAGAACCCGAAAGTTCATGTCTGCCTCAATCGCTAGCAGAATCCGGGAGTGCCTGTTTCCTGGACCTCCTCCGGCATAAAAGCCTTGTTACGCCCAGCCTTTTCCTTCCCTCTTTGCACTTTGGACTTCTGCACAGGGTGGGCAACGGAGGGGGCGTGCTTCCCTCCTGGCCGGCTTTGCCAGAAGTGGTGCTGAGGTTCCCACCAGCATCCTCTGGTCCTTTCACCTCTTCCCCACTAGAGGTGGGGTTTTCCTCATCACTCATCACCTGAAGAGGAACTGCTTCGCAAGATTTTTGGAGGCTCCCTGTAACGCAACTGTCCCTCCCACCCCACCCCACCCAGTTCTGATGGCAGTTCCCTGACAAATCCTACGAGAAGGATCATGGAAGGATATTTCAGAGATCTTCCTCCTTAAATGGGATAGGCCTATCTACAAAAGGGGTTTCCCCTCCCAAGATGCAACAGGTGAAAGCAAACACACACCCTGCAAAAGTAACCATCATGATGAACTGGGATCAAGCAGGACCACGAATGTGACGTACCTGGTTCCATGATTCTTTTCGAAATAGGCTGCTCGCAACCACACACTTTTCTTGCTGGGGAAGACTTGTAAGGCGTAGGCATAGATTGCCCGGGCGCACTCAAGCGCATTGTGAGCGACGCACTGTGGGAACACGAGAACACAAAACTATTGGGGCTTCTACGACAAAGAGCAAAGTTGGTCAACGTTTATGTATCTGTCTTTTCATGACTTTTGTGTGTACATACTCAACAAAAGGGATTTCTGTGTATTAGTTTCTCTGTCAACCAGATGATGGTAAAGAGGGTTGATTTCCCCCACCTTGTATGCATGTGTGTGGATTCCAGTCCAGTTTAATAATTCAGAGTGATCATGGATCACTCTCATCATGCTGATCATTGTCCAGGATAACTGCCCCAGACTAAGAAGCAGTATCGCCTTGCGATTTGCCCTAAAATTGGATGCAATAGCCGCAATGCAAAACCCACGAGAAAGGAGTGAGAATGTAGCAAATCTCCTCTTTACAAGGACTTCACGGAAGGGCATGTAGTCACATCTCAAGTTGCTTTCTTGGAATCCAGACACTTGGAATTGGTTGCGATGAGGCAGTTGATGCTGTGCTCAAAATAGGTCTATGTGTGAGAGAGTATGCATAACAAAAGAGCCCTCTAGGTTAAGAAATGAGAAACGCTTCTTAAACATATTTGCACCAGGTTACGCAGTCAAGTTCCACAAAATACAGCTGTGGACCAGAGCTTTTGCACACATCAGAATACCAATGGAGTCAGTTTTTATTAGCTAGCACCATGCCCTTCAGGGAGGCTCAGATGCAGGCCAGCACAGCGTGGAGAAATAAAGTTACCACCAGCCACCGATCCTAGAAAGCCCACACCACTCACCTCTCTAGATTCACTATCCTGAGCCATCAGTACCACACATTAGGCAGCTGATCCAGGGTTAGCAAACTTTTGCACTTGGGATCTGAACTTACACTGTCGGCATCTTCCATCCAGGTGTGCTTCCGGTCCTCTTCCTCAATCCCGATCCCAATCACGGCTCTCATGATTGCCTGGCACGTCGCCACACTCCCAGCTTTATCACACTCCTCTGCATCCTAGAAGCAACATCACTACAATTCATGCCGGGCACCGGAAATTCGGGACTCGACAGTGAAGCAACAGCCAGTTTTTATAGTATTGTATGTTGAAAAGTTTACTTTTCCGCCATAGTGGTACCTATTTATCTACTTGCACTTTGATGTGCTAAACGGCGTTTCCGTGCGCTGCTCTGGTTTCGCCAGAAGCAGCTTAGTCATGCTGGCCACATGACCTGGAAAACTGTCTGCAGACAAACATCGGCTCCCTCGGCCAGTAAGGTGAGATGAGCGCCGCAACCCCAGAGTCATTTGCGACTGGACTTAACTGTCAGGGGACCTTTACCTTTACGTTGAAAAGTTTGAATAAAAAATATTTTTTTTTTAAAAAAAGTCCTGCTGTATTCGGTGGAGCTTCCTCCCAGGTAAGTGTAGATAGGATTATAGCCTCTTTTTTAAAACTAAAACAAAATCTACCTCTCCTCTTCCACAGCACTCCCTGTATCTCACCACAGTTACTCCTGGAAAGCATCTGGGATTTCTCCTGCCTTTTCCCACTCTATCCATCTTTGGCAGATGCCAGTCTGGAATACCTTAAGGTCCGATACATTTATTCCTGTCTGAGCTTTCGTAGACAAAATGGGAGACACTCAGACCTACGGTGAGATCTACTGAATGCCCCTCGAGCTATACCCACAGCATCCACCTTGAGCACATGTTAGGGTGAAAAACGAGGTCATTCTTAAATAGGGTTTCCAAAGAGACAATCCAAAGCAGTACCTGAATCCATTGCTCCCGGTTTATTTCCACCCCGTTGGCCCTTAAGGAGGTGATGGCTCGGTCAATGATCTTCTCCACCATCTGAGTGTTCCCGTTGGCCTCCTCAAGTTTGGCAGCTGTGATCCAGATGTGCCTGTCTGTCGGAATGTTCTCACGGGCCTTGTTCAAGACTTTGCGGGCGTTCTCGTACGTTTCCAGCCTCGCTAGGGCAAGCCACAGCTGTATTGCAAGGGCAAAAAGGGTTGTCATTAAGGCAACAGAACTTATCACCATGCAGATTTAACAGCAGTTGATTCTCCAATGTCTGTTCTTTCTCTCTCCCCCCTTTTTAAAAAATAAAAAATGGATTACAAGAATAGCCAAAAGTGAAATAAAAAATGGAATTTATAAAAACAGCAAGAAAAAGTCCAAAAATTATTCACACCCCAGCTAACTAGTCTATCTCCAGCAAAATCTCACATAACATCTCAAGGATAGGAAGAGAAATATAAAAACCCATCAAACACTCAACTACCAGAACGTAACTAATTTGGTGTTTTGCTACATTCCACTGCCATAACCAATGCTTGCTAAGCAGCTTCAAACCCTGGTTGGAGTTACTGTGAGTAACCCTGGTGCTGACACGATACTTAACCAGAGCCAAGGCCTGCAGGGGAATTTGCACTAGAAAACGAAAACACAGGAGGAAGCACAAGCAAAACCAGAGCCTGCTCCACCACTCTTATGGCATGGTTAAGAGATTGCCTGTATTAAGTCTGCAATAGCACAATAAGCGTTTGAAAATTAAGATCTGTTTTAGAAGTTCAGATTTACGGATTACTGCTCATTTAACTTTTTGCAAGAGGATTGTATGACTGAAGCACATTCAAGGGGAGGGACTGCAGCAATAAAACTACTAGCACATCTGCAAAGCTAAGCAGGGTCTGGTATGGTTTCGAATCGGATGGGGGAAACCGCATGTTAACATTCCTGCATTGCAGGGGGTTAGACTAGAAGGCCCTTCCAAGTCTCTAATTCTATGATTCTGTTATTCCTCCTAACCCTAACCCTATGCCTGCCCAGTGGGTTGCATTTTACATTCGAAATGAGATCCATACAGATGAGAAATCGCTAGGATTACATTTGTGTAATTAGAGGCTTCGACTGGATTTTAATGATGCAGCTTCGCCGAACTGAAGCATGCGCACTCATTATTTGAGAGTGGTAAAATAGGATGGGATAATTTTGATGGGAGTGAATTAAATTTGAAGTGGTAGCAAAAAAGAACTCTTCCCAGTAGCCATGGAAGTTGATCTCCCATCCAGTTCTCAGATGAATTTGAGAGATGGGGGGAACCTATCCTTTGTACTTCCCACTGCTAAACTGGGGAGTGGCAAGCAACAAACAAACCCCAGTTCATTTTCATTTGGGGGCCACTGTCTTCCCCGCCCTCAAATTCCACAGTTGTCATCTGAGATTTTTCATCCCAGTCTTATTACAAGACCACCCAGAGCACAGTCTGAAGCGGTGAATGGGAGGGATTTGCCAGCTTACTTCCACGCTGGTGGGGCAGCATTCCACAGCTCGGCTGAGCATTATCCTGGCATCCTCTGGCTCTTCCAGCTCCACAGCTGCTTTCCACAAGCGGACAGAGTTTGGAACATGCTCCAGTGCTAGAAAAGAGTAAAAGGAAAAAAAGATCAGTTAGGTTGAAGGAGTCTTATCCAGAGTAGACTGATGACCTGGAAACGATCACTAGAGCATTGCTTGCAGATTCACCACAAGGGGCAAAACCTCTGAAGAGTGCAGGTGAACTGCCAGTGATGACTGACAAAACTGTCAGTGGCATCCTAGATTTGGGGAGTGGGAATATGCTGTCCTAAGAAAAGGGTGACTTGCCCTAATGGGGAGGAAAAATTATTTAGCTTCTATTTCTTCTGTAGCTTTGACGTTTTCTAAAATTCCATCTCCAGCTTTCTTACATTTAGACGGCAAAGTTATTATAGAATCAAATAGTGCAAGAGGCAGATTTGAATGACAGCTCAACTGTTCACCTTAGCAAGCATAATCTGAGGCTTCTTTTTTTTGCAAAAACCTCAAATCTTAACCTAATAATTCTGCAGAGGCTTCCTCTGTGACCAAATGCATACTTAAATCTCTTGTCTCCCTTACTTTTCTTTTTGGCCTTAACATCCTGCTTGAGGAAGAAGTTCTGTACAACTTGAAACGCTCAACAGCACATTGTGAATTTGGGCTGGTTCTAATAAAAGGCATTATTTTTTCCCTCTCACTTCCTGTTTGGAACATTTCTCTAAATGGACCCACACAACTAGCTGCTTTGCTTTTCAAAATAGTTGCGGGCAGTTTTAAAGGACACTCTTCCAAAAAGCAATCAATACCGTGCCCCTAAAACAGATTGTTTTGGAAAAGTTTTCTTAAAATGCTAAGGCCTGGCTTTAATAAAGAAAAAGCTGCTGAGCCCAAGGATGATTTTCTTCAGCAACCCAGGGCAGTCTCTCCCTCTGCTTATGAAAAGAGACTCTAAAAAGGCAATTTTAACCAAGCGCCTTTTCAGCAGACCTGCAGAACAGCGTTAGAAACTAAGATATGAAAGCTAAGAGCTAAATGGCACCTTAAACCTAGGTTATGGGAGCAACAACAGAACATCTAGGCACACTTTTTATAACAAGAAGACAAAGCTGAAAATGAATGAACTGCAACTAAAGTATTACCGTATTTTTCGCTCTTTGGGACGCACTTTTTCCCCTTCAAAAATGAAGGGGAAATGTGTGTGCGTCCTATGGAGCGAAGATGCCATAGCCCCGCGACCCTCTCCCGGCTGGAGAGGTGACGCACGGCTATGGCAGGAGCCTCTCCGCTGCGCCTTTCCGCTGCTCCCGACCCCTCTCGCTCTCCAGGCTTCCAAGGTAGCCGCCTGAACGCACCTTAAATGGCACCTTGTTTTAGAGCGGGAAAACAAGAGGGGGAAAGTTCTCCCCCTCTCTGCGCAGTGCCTCCTGCCGCTTCGCTGAAGGGGCGCTGGGCAGAGAGGGGGAGATTTTTTTTTTCGTGTTCTCCCCCCTCTAAAACAAAGTGTGTCCTATTGTCCGGTGCGTCCTATGGTGCGAAAAATACGGTATGTTCATTTGTCACATGGAGTAGTCCTTCCCCTGCCCACCCCCTCTAAACACTTTTAAGAGAGTCTCTTCTCCAGTCTTCAGAAAGTAGCTGGAAGTGGGGAAGCAGAAAAAGGTCCTCCTTTCCTTCCACTCTGCAGTTTTAATCTGAAATCTTAGGCGCAGCACTGCATTCAGAGCTCAGAAACTGCTTGTGCTATTGAAATTCCCTGTCGCAAAATGCGCCTAGAACAACGGGAGTTTCAAACACTACTGCAGAACCTCATATCCAAGGTGGCAACAGAAAGAGTCCTCTTTCTTCCTGCATGTGGATAACCTAGAAAACTGAATGAAACGATTTTATGGGCAAAATGCCAATCTGCCTGAACGGGGTTTCCACCCTTTTGCTTGCCTCGGTGAATGTGCTATCACATCCAGGGAGCAGGATAAATAGCAATGCTTCCCTCCACCCATGGAGCTTCTGGTGGGGTGGGGGAGAAGAGAAAGAAAACCGTCCCCAGAATTCCCTGGCAATCCCCGCTCACCACCACCCAGCTCGTAAGGCTGGGAAGAAGGCTGGCGGGAGTGATTTGGCTCTTGTATCGTCATGATGTCCTGGGCACCTTAACTATAAAACAATCAAACCAGAACACTCCTTCCTACCAATTGCTGCTGAGCACTTCAGCTGTGTAGGCAGAACCAGGTCTTGGCAACCAAAGCCAGAGAAAAAAATCACAAGACCTTGGGACTAAAACTTTCAACTTCCACAAATCTGTATCTTCTTCATGGAAAATGATATACTCCGTGTAACAACATAGCACACATTTAGTTGTGGGAGGGGGGAGTGGCTCCATGTCTCCCCTTGCCCTCCTACCATGATGTTTAGCAATGCATACAAACACATGGGACAACCGTAACTTCTCTTGCTCCAGGAAACAGAACTCATTGAAGCAAGCTGAGGCAGGGAAACTTTCAAAATGAAGATGTCTCATCACACTTTTTTACATTGCTGAATGTAGAGAGGGGAGAGAAAGAGACGAGGGGCTGCCATCTACAGCAGCAGTCACTAACTCATGTCACTACAGCCCCATGAGAAACCGGATGCAACTCTGAATGCAGAGGCATGGATGCATTAATTACACTAATGGTGGCGATGGATGCATTGTTAATTATGCATGGTGGGGGAAGTATGGCCCACAACTTGGATTATTACCTATTAATTGCCCAACCCTTCCTCAAAAGAAATTCAGGGTGGCATAAATAGGACGGTTATCATATCAACCACCCTGTGAGATAGTTATGGGCAAAGAAAAAGCACCGAGTGAGCTTACTGGCTGAACAAGTACTTGGATCAAGGGGTCTTTAGTTGTCGATCCTTAGAATCCAAAAACTCTCTTTTCCCAGGAAGGAAAGACAACCAGAAGCTGGGAAGAAAGGCTGGTTAACTAGGGGAATTTGACTCTGCTGAGCCTCACGGTGAGACAATATGGAAAGATCAAGTCCAGCTGGTCAGACCAGCAAACAGGCCTAATCTAGCAGCTTTTATGGGACTCAAGAGGTATTCCGGTCACCAGATCAAAGAGCTATTGCAAGCTCAAGTCCTTACACTGGACATGCGACTTGCCCCATCCTTGTCTAGGAGGCAGCCAGTTAGATCAGAAAGGTGGAACACAATCCTCTTTGCTGAATTCATTTCTGTAGCACCCAGGTTAAAAACATCACATGAGAACCACACACCACTTCCAACCACGTGCATCAAGTGTGTACTCTCAAAATGTGTTACAACTTTGTGCACTCTGCCCCTTCCAGATCACCTGGTTACACAGGGATTGAAGGTGGATGGGGAAAAAGCTGAGCACAATTCAGAGCTAGATGATTTGCTGCTTAACCTTAAAGTAAGACCATTAAAAGAAGAAGAAAATGGGGTATCTTTCATTTTATAACTGGAGTGTGGTGATATTCTCCCGTTAAGACTAGCAAGCGGGTTGTGTGGGAATTCGTTAGAAATGCTAGAATAATGAGCTTAAACACAGCTGTCTCTCATTAAGGTCTCAATGCCAGTATCGAACGGTAATCACAGACACATGATGGGAGCAGGTGCTGATTTATTTGGGCGGAAAGGGTGAACCCCCATAGTCAGCGTTCCCTTAAAAATGGGATTGGGGTGAGCATAAGCAGTTCTCTGATCATGGAAGGTCAGCGCCTGTTCAGACCTTAGAAGGCATTTTGCCTCAGCCTACTAAGATTTATATGTAAGTGTCAGCTAGCTAGATAATATAGTTTTGTTATTTTTTAGCCTTGAGCAGTCTTAATTTGTGTAATTGTTTGAAGCTTTTCCTTTTTACAGACTTTGGCTTTTAATAAAGTTTCTTATACAGTGGTACCTCGGGTTACATACGCTTCTGGTTACATACGCTTCAGGTTACAGACACCGCTAACCCAGAAATAGTACCTCGGGTTAAGAACTTTGCTTCAGGATGAGAACAGAAATCGTGCTCCAGTGGTGCGGTAGCAGCAGGAGGCCCCATTAGCTAAAGTGGTCTTCAGGTTAAGAACAGTTTCAGGTTAAGAACGGACCTCCGGAACGAATTAAGTACTTAACCTGAGGTACCACTGTAAGCCTTTACGGAAATTGGTCTTGCTTGGGTTTCTGAACCTCCTGATCTTGACTACGCTTTTCGAAGTGGGTCATTCATCACAACTGGTCTTTCACACATGCGGCAGAAAAGGCCGGGTGAGGAGACAGAAGAGTTGCAAGAGACTGGTGCCTTGATGCACTAAGAAACAAAACCTTCTCAAAACATCGAGCTGGTGCTGGCTCTTTAATTACATCCACAGCAGCCCGCAAGAGATAATGATTGCATCTTCCTCAGGCTCTGAGGCAGCAAAGGATGCTTCCTGGAAATTTACTGCGACAACATTCTGACTAGTTGGATGCTTGCCGTCCTTCATCATGTTTATAGTCGCAGCAGGGGGTTTTCTCCAAGCACTTCTCTAAATGCTGGATGACAGGCCCTGGTGTTCGGAAACACTACCCAGCAGAAACCGGCATGTTCTTGCAGTGAGAGGATTCAATTCCCACACATCAGGAAGAATGCCTCACATACTGTGGCTTTATCACATATGCCCAAATAACACTAAATGAATACCCGATCCAGAGACCACCCTTACTACTCTCACCTGCCATCAAGACACAAAGCACCCGCTTTTGAGTAACTCATCGCACGGCTAGGCTGACATTTACATGGCCTAACCAGATGGCCTTTCAACCACAGGTGAACACTCCACATGGAGACAAGGTGCCAGTTTTGGGGATAAAAGACCTGTATAAGCAGGTCCAGCCCTTGTGGCTAAGTCACGTCTAATTTCTCCAAGCCGCTGAAGAGCAACTTACAGAATGCGGAAAAGCAGCTTCAAGCAGAAAGGTTAGCATTTCATAAGACTCTGTTAACTCCTGAGAACAATGGAAGCTTAAGGTTCAGCACAATATTTAGAGGGAGTAAAATACAACTTGAGGTTCCCCTCCCCCACTGCCTTTGGGGTGAAAAGTAAGAATTTACTAGTGTTCTATGTAAATACGTACTTACGTAGGCCAAAATTTTCTGGTAGAAAATAGGAGTGTATATGTTAACTAATTACAAAAGGTTTAAAAGTTTGGTCTTTGTATATTCTCCTTTCAAGCGCCGATCTATAACCAGAGGGCTACACGTTCACCCACTATAGTTGCTTCCAGCAAGCTCAGCGCAGCAGAAGCAAACTCATGCTTTCCAAGTTCCAAGGGGCAGGCGGCACCTTTGGCTTTGGATACGGGCCGTGCCGAGTAGCAGAGATTAGACACCCCACAACTACCATCATCCTACCACCCTGAAGGGACAAAGCTGGTATTGAACCAGGACTATCTGTGGATCCCCAGCTGCAATCATCATGACAGCTTTTTTAAAAAGACTCTACGTGTCTATCTTGTTCAAGGGGCCATCTAGGTTGTGCGTTATGACTGCCTGCTTCCATCCCTTACTTCTATCAAACCACCGAGACAAAAAAGAGCCAGCAGATGAAAGCACAATGAATCAGGAGAGTCACCTGGCATCAAAAAAATTAAAGCAGGTGTCAGGTGAGCTACCCCAGAGATGAAATTCAAAAGGTACCACAACCAAAAAGGTCCTCTCCCTACCTGGCACCCAACATCCTTCCGAAGAATGGAGCAAACAGAGGAGAGCCTCCAGTTAATGATCTTGGTGACTCGAGCAGAGTTGTGTGGGGTAAAAACAGTCTAACAAGGACCCGGGGCATAAGTTTTAAAAAGGCAAGTACGGTATTTTTCGCTCTATAACACGCACCAGACCATAACACGCACGTAGATTTTAGAGGAGGAAAACAAGAAAAAAAATATTCTAAACAAAATAGTGGATATATGATTTTTGTGGTTCATGCTGTGGCCACAGACATGTGATCTGACAGTGAGTTTGGAGTAGCCCAATGCAAAAATCCTGAGGATCCATGTGGATCCATGCTTTGTAACCACGGAGGAGGGAAGGAAGGGGAACCATAGATCCTCTGCTCACGACTGCAGCAGATCCCCCCCCGCCACCCGCAGGCATTCGCTCCATAACACGCACAGACATTTCCCCTTACTTTCTAGGAGGAAAAAAGTGAGTGTTATGGTGCAAAAAATACGGTACTTTTCCGTCCAACGCTTTTTTGAGGTGAGCTTGGAAACAGGCCAGGAGTCAAGGCATGTGTTTCAATACAGGCGAGATGAAGTCCCCTTGCTCAGTCCTAGTAAATAGCCCAGCAGCTGCACCCTGAACTAAACGTAATTTCCAAACTTGTCTTCAAAGGCAGCACCCTGCAGCACTTCAAAGGCAGCTCTCTCTCACCTTTCCGAAGGACACGCTTCTTTGCTCGGATGTCAGTCTCCAGCTCTGCTGCTCTGATGTAAATCCGGACTGACTGTGGAAGGTGGCGAACGGCCTGGGCAACCACAGCCTTAGCAGTATCCCCCGGCTGCAAGCGGGCAGCTTCCAACCAGACATCTTCACTCTGTGGAAACCAGGAGAAAGAGACACTGGATTGCAATTTAAGCAACGGATGGAGAAGGTTAGGCTCAAAGTGGGCCTCCAGGCCTCTACCTGGCCTGTGTGACCCTTCCTATGCCTTCTCCCCAAGTCACACTCTTCACTGGCCCTGCTCTGTCTGCACCACCCTAGAGTCTTTTGTCTGGCTGGAACATGTTGTTTACTTGCAATAATGCCTCTTGCTTGCCATTTCTCCAAACTAAGAAGTCCCAAATGCGGCAGGCTTTCTACATAGGGGAGTTGCTTTATCCCCTTGATCATTTCACCGGCCCTTTCCTGAACCTTTTCAAACTGTACTCCACATGCGGTCGCACCATAAATTTGCATAATAGGCATTACGATGTTGGAATATATATTTTTACGCTTTCCCAAAATATTTATTTATTCAAAGTGATTTTCTTCCCACTCTTCAGATAAAGAAGGGGGGGGGGGGGGAAGGCTTCCAAAGCAGCTTACAGCAACCAGTAAAAATTCAGTCCCTGCCTACAGGCTTACAATCTAGAAGTCAGGACACAAAAGGCATGGGGTTGTGCAGGGAGGAGGAAAAAAGCAAACACGGGCATTTGTTCTTGTCAGTAGCACCAGAGGCCTGTGTGTGCTGGCTCTGACCAATGGAATGAATCCGAAATTCTTTTGAAAACTAGATTCTGGAAGCAGGATGGAATTATACAGTTAAATATGTACAGCGGTGCCTCGCAAGACGAAATTAATCCGTTCCGCGAGTCTCTTCATCTAGCGGTTTTTTCGTCTTGCGAAGCAACCCTATTAGCGGCTTAGCGGATTAGCACTATTAGCGGTTTAGTGGCTATTAAAGGCTTAGCGGCTTAGCTGCTAAAAGGCTATTAGCGGCTTAGCGGCTTAGAAAAAGGCGGGGAAAGCGAAAAAAATCTCAAGACTCGCAAGACATTTTCGTCTTGCGAAGCAAGCCCATAGGGAAAATCGTCCTGCGAAGCGCATCGAAAAACGGAAAACCCTTTCGTCTAGCGGGTTTTCCGTCTTGCGAGGCATTCGTCTTGCGGGGCACCACTGTACTGGCATAATTCATTCAGGTGGCAGTATTCTAGATTCCCTGATCGTAACATTCTGTACTGGCAGTTTTATTTTCAGTTCCTTTTCCACTTATCCCTAGCATGGATTTGCCCTTTCCACTGCCATCGCACATTGGGTCCACATCTTCATCAAACTAAACAAGACCACAATAATTTGCAGAGTTCTCTTTCATGCCCTCCAGCCCCCGTCTTGTCCCGTCATGAACCAAGGACAAGGAATCTATGGCCCTCTATATATTGCTGGACTCCCAGCTCCCATCAGCCCAAGCAGCATGGCCAGTGGTCAGGGATGATGGGACCTGGCGCTCCAACAACATCTGGAAGGCTACAGCTTCCCTACCCCTGCCATAATCCGAATAGCCCCAAACACATTTTGCCTTGGTCATCCTTGGTAGCAGAACCAGTGCAGAAGGTGGCACAAAGTGGAGGAAAGCAGAAAGTAAAGATGTGTCAAGCAAAGCAAAATATTTAATAAGCAGAAAGGAGAACGAGGGCCCAGAAAGCAGGATGGGGAACCTCAAATCACAATGCTTAAGGTGTTTGCCTAATCACCACTGACATTTCCCCAGAGCATGTAAAAGCAGCTGTTAAGTTAGAGCCACAACGCTCCTTTTCCCAAGTGGATTAAAAAAAATAAAATTGCACCAGATCAGAAGAATCTTTATTTGCATCAGCCACGAGCCATAGCAGTAAAATAAAATGTACTGAAATAGAGATAAAAACTTAACCATACAAAAAACATTTTGGAGGTTTACATCAGTAATCAAATAATAGATCTTATTCTAATTGCCCCTGCTAAAATGTTGGGAGTTTTTGCTGTCACCTGGTTATCTTGATCTGCTAGAAGAAAGGACACAGTCGCAATGGTTGAGCGTCCCGACGTGGACAATAGAGGGATAATAACCTAACTCCTCAAATCGTTATAAAGAGTGCAAGCAGAAGCACATGAGCCACTGACTCAGAACTGCCAATCTCCACATGGAAATAACCGATTATCCAACGGAATTTTTTTGAAATCAACCCTCAAGTACAGCCGAAGGCAGTGTATTCAATCTTGCTGAAGTGAAAGTGTGTCTGTATTTTGGAACTGTTAAATTTTGCAAATAGGGTGCCAACGTGTCAAAATGACTAGGTGGGAAATAATTTCCTTACCGTGGCCAAATTATTCTCTTGCTCAGTATGATATAGGCACTGTCTAATTAAATTATTTGCTTTACTGAAGTCCTGTGTTAATAACTGTTGTGGTGATAAACCAGAAAATTAAAGCTTTTGGTTGACAATTCTAGTCCAAGCACTCTCATAACAATCTTGCGGTACTAAGGGTAGTAGACCAGCAAATGGAAAACTTCAATGGAGCAAACCCGCCTGGGAGCTCCCTAGTGCCTCCAATCCCAGTGGGGTGAACTGGCAATATCAATCAGCTGACAGAGGCTGTCAGTAAGCTCCCATTCGCATTGCCAAGAAGCAACTGGGAGCACACTTCAAGCTACCCATTCTGCCTCTACAGCTGTGTTTTAACCTAGGTAAAAAAAGGGTAAAGGACTCCTGGACGGTTAAGTCCAGTCAAAGGCAACTATGGGGTTGCGGCACTCATCTCGCTTTCAGGCCAAGGGAACCAGCATTTGTCCACAGACAGCTTTACGGGTCATGTGACCAGCATGACTAAGCCACTTCTGGCGCAACAGAGCACCGTGATGGAAGCCAGAGCGCACGGAAACGCTGTTTACCTTCCCACCACAGCAATACCTATTTATCTACTTGCACTGGTATGTTTTCGAACTGCTAGATTGGCAGGAGCTGGGACAGAGCAAGCTCACGCGGGGATTCACACCGCCAACCTTCCAATCAGCAAGCCCAAGAGACTCGGTGGTTTAGGCCAAAGTACCACCCACGTCCCCGTGTCTTTACCTATGCCATGTCCAATATCACATATGACATCAGGTGTGGGGCTGGGGGGGTGTAGCTTGGGGTAAACAGCCTCATGGGCCAAATTAGGCCTATAGCGTGAAGGGTTCCCACCACCACCTTAAGTCACAGTGATCAAGAGAATTTATTTTGTGTGCAAAGTGACAAGAAACCAGCGCAGGTACTTAAGGAGGAGTCCTGGAAAATGGAATGCTCACCTTGGGACACATTTCTGTCCCTTTCATGATAAGGTTCCGTGCTACCTGCAGTTTTCCGGTCACCTCTTCCAAGCGCGCAGACGCAATCCAGGCTGGTGGGTGGTGAGGGTTTGTCTCCCGCACAGACTTCAGAAGCAAACGGGCTTTCTTGATGTCACTGGCAAGGGGAGAAAATGAACCGAGAATAACTTGGCATGCTTCTACATCACACCAATTCACCGACACTACAGACTTCTCCTGGGTAATAAATGTCATCATATGGCAAAGGTATAAAAGTGGTGAGGACAGAACAGGGCCCACGGTTTGTGGGGAAGGTTACAGGAATGAAGCAAAGGAACAAAGGAAGCGAGCTAGCAAGCAGAGTCTGGAAGATGGTGGAATGGATAGGAGATTTTTAAAAATTGCCTGCGAGAACAAAGACAAGGGGCTAGGGGAGAAAGAGGCACGGGTGTGGATTGAAGCAAACTAAGAGAGTGGTATATGTTCACATGTATTATTATCTGGCTGATTTGCCAATCTGTAAGAGTCAAAGATGCTCTCTTGGAGGCAAACCAGGTAGAGGCAACTTGAGAGTGTGCAAGCAGGGTCTGCCTATGCGCTGGCACCAACTTCTGGGAAACCTGCACATCCCACTTTAGTCAACTCTGCCCCATTAAGCAATGGCCAAACAGGACCTACGGGACACACACAGTCCTTTGAATCCTTGCTTCTGGAAACAGGATGGGGGGGGGTTGACGTTCTGTCAGGTACCTCCCACCTTAGTGGTTTCTACATTCTGTGTCACAAACAAAGGCTGGACCCTGAACCATGTGCAGATCACTCAAAGCAAAGGGGCCTTCTTGCACCAAGGGTGGGAACCTATGGCCCTCCCGATGTTGCTGGAGTACAGGTTCCATCATTCCTGATTGTTAGCTATGCTGTCTGGGGCAGATGGGAGCTGTAGTTCAACAACATCCAGCTGGAGGGCCACAGGCTCACCAACCCAGCTCTCGTGACGAGAAAATCTAATAGCCAAATCAGTGCACCCGCTGACTTACTTGATATCTCCACCGTGTGTGGGAATCATAGAATTCAAATCGGTGAGGTAGCCCTTGGGATCCACCACCGTTTGGCCACTCACAGAGTCAGACACCTGGAGATGTAAACCCAATGATTAATCAAGTGTTTGATCGCCATCATCATTTTATTTGTATGGTGTCTTTCCATAGTTAAAACCATGCTCAGGGCGGCTTACAACATGACAAGATTTACACAATCACAAACATAACAAAAACCATAAACAAATAAAAAGCGTCAAAAAGCACACAACCAAACTGAAACAATTTCTTCATACATTATAATAAGATCTAAAAACAAAGGTGCAAAAATTAGTATCATTAACAACAACAAAAACCCAAACAAAACACTCTAGACAATAACACAGCCCAAGAGGTTTTTCAACAGCTGTTGTAGCTGGAGTCAATCAAGGCCCTGCCCTCCCAAGCCAGGTAGGGAAAAGGCCAGAAAGGCAAGGAGCAGGTCTTCCAGGATCCACTGCCAAGATGGTCTCTGGCCTCTTCAGCAGGCCCAGATTTTGTAGCCAGCATCATTAAAGTTTATCACTCAAGCCTCACTAACATGCACACAAACAGACTTAAAAGAAACTCAGAAAATAAGATCACTTTGTTGTGCAGAATTGGGAAACCCCCCCTACACTCTTTGTTCCAACAACCCTATATTTGGGGTTGGGGAGTATAACCCTGAAAAATAACCTCTCAATGGCAAGCACTCACTTTTCTGGATGACAAAGCTGACAGTTCTAAGGCCCAATTTCGTTCGTCAGGTTCAATAAGCAACAAAAATCCGCTTTGTTCCTTGATGCTTACCTGGCTGAGCCGCATGTCCATCAAGGTGTTCCTAGCTTGGCCAATCTTCCTCATGTCCAGCTCACCTGTCCCAGGAGTCATCAGCCCAGGTGTCATTCCTCCTGGATAAGGTGTGTTTAAGCCCCCAGGAAAGGGAGTATTCAGCCCACCAAATTGCTGTTTTTTAAAAAAAGGAAGGGGCAAAACCAAATAAGTTAAAGTCTCTAGTGCAAAAAGAACACCCAAGTCTCCACCATAATCTTAGCCATCAGTTTTAGTGGGAGGGGAGGGGACTCTCATCTTTGTGGTAAGTGGGTTGTGTACAGGATTATATGCTGCCAGGGCTCACTACAAAATGATGGTCACCAAGGGGAACAGAAAGCTTTGCTGTCACTGTACTACTGCCTCCATGATCAGGGCTTTAGTTTTCTCACTTGTACTAGAGAAAGTAAAGCAGGACACCAGAACATATCACTGGGGTGAAGGCTAAAACATGACAGAATGTTGGAAAGTGGCTTTTACACAGACATATTTTGCTGCATTAGCAGAAACTAGTCAACTAGCTATATATTAAAGATAATTTGACTGAAGGGTTAGCGAACTTTCTAAGCTTATCCTTATATATCAGAGAGGAAGTTGGAACCATGATATCCACTTAGAAGCAACACTGATTCCACACAAAACCTTCCCACAATCACCCAAGGTGGCTCATTGCTATTTATGGAATGTAATTTATAGAATGTAATTTAAAGAATGTCATAAAAACTCACCATAAGACACATCTAGAAAAGCAGAAACAAACAAAATGGTAAAACTTTCTGTGATATGTTCCTACCTCCACACTAGCAAATAGCCTTTCGAAACAGACGAGCAGTATGAAAACAGAGGAACATTGATGAACCTCTTGGGAAAGATCATGCCACAGAACTGGGCCAACAATATGAGGATTTTTTTTCAATCAGGGGAGCATACAAATAATCAATACCCCACCTTTAATCCGAAAAGGTAGACCTGCAAAATCTGCAGCACATGATCTTTCTGATCACACTGAGGATTTGAAGGGAACTGGCTCTCCTCCCTTCATAGGTTGCCCAAACTCAGACAGTGTCCAGATTAAAATGTTGGATTCACAGGGGTGGATGGAATTAAGAATTCAATGCAAATAATGTCCCTGACCTGTAGCAGCCAATTCCTTTCCATTCCCATCAGCAGAGGAATGTTTATAGGCATTAACTTTAAAGTTGCTCCGACAATTTTTATGCAGTCTGGTGTGACTTTAATGATTACACAAATAATGAGCCATATGATGGAAGAGTATCCACAGTTTACAGCACAGTCTGCTGTGCATGAAGCACATACAGTGGTACCTCGGGTTAAGTACTTTATTCGTTCCGGAGATCCGTTCTTAACCTGAAGCACGACTTTAGCTAATGGGGCCTCCCGCTGCCGCTGCGCCGCCGGAGCATGATTTCTGTTCTCATCCTGAAGCAAAGTTCTTAACCCGAGGTACTATTTCTGGGTTAGCGGAGACTGTAACCTGAAGGGTATGTAACCCGAGATACCACTGTATTTTATTTTTTCCCCTTCCCCCTCTCTATAAATTCTAATTGTTATTGAGACAAAATGTTTTTTTACTTATGATCACCAATCTAAACAATAAAACATTACTATACATTATTTCCTATCTGTAATAACTTTGGTATAAACACCTTGTCGCAACTTTGTTAATATACTTGGAAATGTTTGCCCGAGTGCCTATTGTTGTTTTATCTTTTATTTTAATTTTATGTAATTGTTGCATGTCACATGCTCTAATGCAAACAAAGACAGCTCTCAATGCAACCAAGTTAAACAGTTTAAAGATGAAAATGAACAAAAACTATGTTACAAAAGAAACCTCTCTCAGGTGGACCTGTATCCGTCCCCCGCTTTCTCACCGTTTGCCGGGGATCCACGGATGTGTGATTCTCGCCTGACTGCAAGTGCTTTGCAAAGAAGCTGTCAGGAACAGGAGTCAGTTTCTCATAACGTGGATTCCTTTGGCGTTTGTTCCTTGCATCACCAACTTCAGGGATACTAAGCCACTCTTCCTCAGTGACCTCAGCTAGTTTTCTCTACAAAAAATGCAGACAACATAATTACAGTGCCATAGTTGAAATCAGTGTGTCACTGAAATACAGTTTTGATTTCTCCCTCTTTTTCATCCGCAACTTCTTAAAAGTTATTCCTGGTGTGTGAATGAGGAATAGACACTCCAAGTGGTCTGGAGAGTCAGTACTTGAACCTAGGTCTCCCAAGCTGAAGTCCTATGTTATTCACTGGTCCACTTTGATTTAATAATTGATATCCAACACATACTACACAAACATTTTTCTGACCCCCCTCCTCCCCAACATAATTTTCTGATTTCACCTTTGGAGAACACACACACACATTTTTCTCTCCTTACTTTCAGATCTGAGAACTGCTGCTGAATTTTTGGCCGTTCCATTCGGTACTTTTCAATCTCTTCTTTCTCACGCTGTTCTCTAAAAAATAAAAAAAGCACAGGAGTCAACCATGCAGGCACCCATTCCTATTTCCAAAAGGGAGATAGCAAGTACTTTTAATACTTCAGGACCCCATGTTCAGGCCAAACATATAACCAGAGAAGCAACAGGCAAGGTTCCAGTGCAGAGGCCCCAGATACAACCAGCATTTATCTCAATGCTAAAAAAAATAACCTCCTACCTTCTCTCTTTTCTCCTTTCATCCATCCTTTTATCCAAAGCAGCGTAAATCGCATCAGCTTCCTCATCATCTTTTTCATAAGGTCCACTGGAGAACAGACTTCCAGCATATCCATTGAACTGCAAATGACAAAAAGGTAGTGTTAACTGCAAGAACCCCGTTATCCACTAAGCACACCCCACAGAACCACAGCTAGTAAGAGTAGACAGGCTAAAGGGGGGCAATGGTCTGAGCACAATGTAGCTTTATGTGTACATTGCCATTAATGTCCATCAAGACAGTAAGGCCAAAGATGCATCACCTCATCGTAATTGGTGTCGTTCAGATCTTCATCGTCGTCATCCGCAGCCTGGTTTTTCTTCATCTGGTCCCCAACGGTCCTCTTCCCTGGCGGAGCATGGCGGTCATCCACAGGGTCATTTGCATCCCGAGCAGGGCCAATGTCCGAGCGGGTAGTGAAACCTGTAGCACTAGACAGAAGAAAGCAGCCAGTTCAGTATGAGGGATTTCAGACAAGGGACTGGGCACCAGTCCTTCAAATTCAGAAACCCTGCTCCAAGTCCTACCTAAACCCAGACTTGCAAATAACCCCTCAATTGTAGCAAGGGAGAATAGTCCCTGGATGCTCAGGAAGCAAAACATCTGCAAATTTTAAAAGCTAATCTTTACTTTCCAAGATTACCAGTGTGCCTTAAATGATATATATACTGATATATATATATATATATATATCTTTTATCACCTTTTTTATCACGCTAGGACATATTTCTTTTTTTTCTTTTTTATAAAGTTTTTTATTAAGAATCTCAACATAATATATCAAAACATATCATATTCATTATTTTTCCCCCTTTTCCCCCACTCCCCATCAAACCTTGCCTCCCCCCGCAGAGTCTTCCCTCAGCTCCTCTCTGATTTCTCAACACATGTTATTCTCTGCATATTATAAAATTATATAAATCCTTATATTATCTATCTAGCATGTTATCAATAAATTTGTGTATGTTTATTCAAAACCTGCCAAGGAGTCCAGTTCATTTTGTTGTCTTTTTAAAACATTAGGACATCTTTCAAGTGCGTACATATACTGAATATAAAATACTGAAGCAGGTCTTCAGTGAGTGTCTAAACTTGCACAATATTGGCACCCAGAGAATCACAGAATTGTAGAGTTGGAAGAGACCCTCGAGGGCCATCTAGTCCAACCCCCCCCCCTTGCAATGCAGGAATCTCAACTCAAGCATTCATAACAGATGACCATCCTATACTGGCATACCTCTGTGTCTGAGACTGAAAATATCCCAAGAAATCAGCTGACTTTTGCTGCTGTGGTGCTTTTCGTTGCAACCAATGTTAACATGTCAGGATAAAAAAAAAAATAGATATCCAATATGGATTTTCAAACAAAAACCTATCCAGGGAAGCAGACCTGAGTCACCGTCCTCTGACACAAAGCACATGGCTTTGTTTTTGAACATTTTCCTGCACTGGGGCACAATTGAGTTGGCTGAGTCAGTGTTAAAATAAACTTCCTAGGTTGCAAAGCGTATCTGAGCTTTGTGGGGGAAGAGGAGACACAACACCCTTCTCCCAAAAGCAGGGTTATAAATGCAAAAAAGTAAAATATACATAAATAGACTTTCCAAAAAATGAAAGGCAAATACATTAGTAGTAGTAACAATAATAATAATACAGTAATAATAAAGCCACAGGGTGAGTTTATTATTATTATTTATTAAATTTGTATACCGCCCTTCATCCACAGATCTCAGGGCAGTTCACAGCATGTTTTCATTATTTCCTTATCTTTCGTAACTTGCCAATTTTTAAAAATGGGGGGGAAAGAGTACTATTCAGGGAAGGGTGCCGTTTCCTTTCACAGAATCACAGAGTTGGAAGGGACCCCTGAGGGTCATCTAGTACAGCCCCCTGCAATGTAGGAATTGGAAGGCAAAAAGAACTCTGCACATGCTCCTGGCGTCGGGACATTGAAGCCTTTCAAAGGCTACACAGACACGCCTTGCTCTGAGGAGGAAATCACCCTGCCTATGGGTACAATCGGGAAGCAAAAAGAAACTCTGCACATGCTCTAGGCGTCGGGCCCTTGAAGCCTTTTAAAGGCCCCACGCAAACCCGCGCGCCTTGGTCTGCGGAGAAGGCACTCTGCGTATGGTCAGAGGCACCTTCCACGCGCAACGTGGGCACCTCAGAGCCGAGCAAAGAAACGCTGCAAGGGCGGGGAGGGAAAGGCCTGACCCGAGGAGGGCCCACGCGAGGAGGCCTCGAGGAGGCAGCCGGGCCTCGGCCCACCCGCCGCCGCCGCCGCCGCCCCCACTTCCCGGGGCCGCTGCCCAACTCCAGCGCCCGGCCTCGGCCCACTCACCCTCGGCCCAGGCCCGGCACGTAGCCCAGCGGCGCGGGCATCCCCAAGAAGGGCTTCTTCTTCCTGTTCATGGTGCCCGTCAGAGAAGCCGTCAGGCCCGAAGCGCTGCCGCCTCCGCCGCCACCGCCACCCCCGGAGCTCGCCGCGCTGGAGCCCGCCGGAGCCGAGGCCCCGGAGGCCGACGAGGAGGCCGACGAAGAAGCGGCCGCGGCAGCCATGATGGCGGCTGAGGAGAAGACGCTGCGGGAGGCGAGCGAGAAGAGGGCGGCGAGGAGGCCGGGCCTAGCCGGTCCTGCTCCGCCTCCCTCGCGGAGGGGCGGCCTCAGGTAGGCGGGCTCGCGGCTTCTTCTCCTCAGGCGGCGGGAGCCTCGCTGGGCCTCGGTCGCGTCGGGGAGACTCTGAGGGCAGGAAGGGAGGAAGGCGGCGCCGCGCGGAGAGGGAAGGAAGCCGGCGAGGGAAACAGGGCGGTGGCGCTGTTTTTTATTACTTAATTCATCGTCATTATTATTATTATTATTATTATTAGGCGCTTTATTTATTTGTGCGCCGCTTTCCCACACACCCGGAAAGTTACAAAGCAGCCGCGGAAAGGCGCGCTTTTGCTGTCATTGGCGATGGTTGACATACAGTATTTCTATTCTCTGTTTTGCTTATTTTGTAATATTCATATTGACATATCCCTGTTGGTCGATATTGATAGTTACCTTATATTGGGGTTGCTGTTAATTGATATTTTAATGTTTGGCACCTGCACATTTTATTACAACGACAGCATTTTTATAATGATATGTTGATATTCAATATAGTATAGTAATATAAAAATATGTTGTTGTTTTATTTTGTTTGCTTATTTTTGTAATATATTGAAATATCCCTATTGATCGATATTGATAGTTACCTTATATTGGTGTTGGTGTTAATTGATATTTTAATGTTTGACACCTGCACATTTTATTACAACGACAGAATTTTAAAAATCATTTGTTGATATTCAATATAGTATAGTAATATAAATAATAATATACTGTTGTTTTATTTTGTTTTGCTTGTTTTGTAATATTTATATTGAAATATCCATACTGGTCGATATTGATAGTTATATTGGTGTTGGTTCTAACTGATATTTTAATATTTGGCACCTGCACATTTTATTACAACAGCATTTTTATAATGATACGTTGATATCCAATATAGCATAGTAATATAACAATATATTGTTGTTTTATTTAGTTTTGCTTCTTTTTGTAATATTCATATTGAAATATCCATATTGGTCGATATTGATAGTTATTTATATTGGTGTTGGTGTCAATTAATATTTTAATATTTGGCATTCGCACATTTTATTACAACAGCAATTTTATAATATTTTGATATTCAGTATAGTAATATAATAATATATTGTTGTTGTTATTGTTTTATTTTTATATGCCACCCCTCTGACTGGGCAGCTCCCAACAGAAAATATCAACAACACAATAAGTACAGTATCAAACACGGAAAAGCTTTCCTGAACCTTCAGATGCCTTTTAAAAATCACCCAGCTGTTTATCTCCTTGACATCTGATGCACAAACAGCTAAAAGCAGTTTGCAGCAAAAAAGTGGAAAGCGCATTTTTGCTGTAATTGTGATATTTAGCTTATTTTTTAATTGCTGTTTTGCTTATTGTTTAGTTTGTTAATAGTTTTTTTATATTTTATAATTGCTTTATTGTTGATGTGTTAATTATTTTACTTGATTTATGCTGTATTTGTGATGTTAAATTATACAGCGGTATATAAATATTTTTATTGTAGAATTATAGAGTTGCATTTCTCAACACCTGACCTCCATCTAATTTGAAACCATACCAGGCCCTGCTTAAGCTTTGCAGATGTGCTAGCAATTTTATTGCTGCACCACTAGGAGGAGAGAACACATAAAAATGAATAAATAAGGAAACGAAGAGACTTGATGAACCAATCCATCTTTTAGTCTTATTTTGTTTCCATCAGTTGCAGGGTGGATTTGATTTAAATTACAATTTAAATCCCTAGTCAATAAAACTTGATTTAAATCATTTTTTTACAGAAAGACTCATTCTTCCTGGTATAATCTTAATATTTACAACCAGATGAAGGTTTCATTTTTGGAATAATAAATTTTCAGAGTAGTTTTTACAGTTATATCAAAAAATACTGATTTGGTTATACTGTTAGAAATACATAGACAAATAATTATGAAATTATTGTTTATATTTGGACAACTTTTCTGCTGTACTTTATTGGAAGGAGAAAAATAACCATTTCCTTAATAACAACTTAAACAATTTATTTAATTAAAACAATAACATTATAGCATACGTATCCATGTTTGTTAACTGATGTGGTTAAACGATTTAAAAAAACAGACTGAGTTTTAGCACACATGAAAAACTTAAAACAAATCCTTATTTCCTGATGAATAGCCTTTGGGCTAAATAAAAAAATTCTTTTCAGCAGCACCTTAGAGTAATTTATTTATTACAGTCAAAGACCAGCTCACATAACATAACACAATAAAAACAGCGTTCATAAAGATAAAATATACAATCGGAGCAGATTGCAGCAATAGCTCATGAGTTAAAATTGAGATATTGAGCACACTTGAGAGCTCATACCAATAACAAACTTAGTTGATCTCTAAGATGCTACTGGAAGGAATTTTTTTATTCTGTTTCCACTACGGCAGACCAACATGGCTACCTACTTGTAACTAGCCTTTGGACTATAATGTAACTTAAATAGAAAACTAGAAAGATATTTCCTCCAAAGGCATTTTATTTTAAAAATCCAATTTAAATTTAAAAATTCAATTTTTTTAATTTTTTTTAAAAAAACAACATTGATTTTTATCCACCCTGATCAGTTGCAAGTCAAATATCTCTGGCAAGCCTACAAAGTAGGACAGGAATAGCAACAGCTATTATTTGTCCCCAGCATCTGGATCAAGGTACACTGCCTCTCAACATGGAGGTACATTTAGCTATCATGGTTGTTAGCTGGCGGGGATTCATCCTCTGTGAATTTGTCTAACCCTCTTTCCAAACCTTCTGAGCTAATAACATAAGCTGCATTGCACAATATCAAGACTATGGATGGTAGTCATCTATGTTTTGCTATGTAGAAATTACAGAACATGACTAAGTTAGATCCATAGACTGGAATAGGCCTATGAATAAAACTTAGCAGAATACCACCCTAAATATTTGTCTGATCAGTACTGTACACTGACTGGCAGCAGCTCTGAAAGATACTCAGAGTCGCAAAGTGATTTCATGCTCTTTATTCAGCTCATAGTGGTGAGGAGGAATGAATGAATGTCCCCTCAAAGTATCTGCTTATATACATTATTTACACAATGGGCTGCACATGATTGGCTAATTCCGGAATTCTACTGTAAGCCAATCAGGTTGTGGATTCACTTCTATCTGGAGCATGATTGGGTGGTTCCTGCCAACCAGTCATACTGCTGCATTGTTCTAGGACCAATCAAACTGCTGCATTCTGAATCCTATTGTTCTAGGACCAATCAGACGGCTGCAGTTTGGATCCTATTCAACTCACTACATAACAAGCTCTCTCCAGGATCTTTTGCATCCAGTTACTTCATCTGGAGAGGCTGGAAATTGAACCTGGAACCTTCTGCATGTATGCAAGCTGCCATCAGTGTGGCTCAGTGGGTTTACTCCTAGGTAAACATGCGCAAGATTGCATCCTTACAAATGTGTAAATGCTGATTGGGCCCTGTTTTCCTCAGAGTGGCTGGGGAAACCCAGCCAGATGGGTGGGGTATAAATAAATTATTATTATTATTATTATTATTATTATTATTATTATTATTCAGTGGACACCAGACTGTGAAAGGGCTGGTGAGCAGCCTTACTAGCCTTGCCCTCTAGAACACATCAGAAATTCCCCCAGGCAGCACGCAATTTGCATCTGTTTGAAGAGTCATAAGGCTGAACAGTAGCCCCCATTCCGACTCTAAAATTCTTTGATTCTGTTATTCATGTCCAAACATCTGCATTTGGGCTATTGTGCATAGATGAATTTCAGCATGGAAATTAAACAGCATAGCACACACATTCTCTGCCCTACCGAGCACAGTAAAAACTGAATAAAAGGCCCATCACCCCCCTGAAATAAACACAGCATGCTGCATGCTGCCTTATACTGAGTCAGACCATCGGTCCTTCTAGTTCAGTATTGTCTGCACTGACTGGCAGCGACCCTCCTAGATTTCAGGCAAGGATCTCTCCCATCCCTACCTACCTGGGATTGAACCTGGGATCTTTTGCTTGCAGAGCAGAGCTAACATCCTTGTTGGGGACCGACTGCCAAACATTTCAGTCAGGTGTAAAATGCACCATAAGACGTATAAAAACTTTTGCACAAAAAGAGGTTTGCAGGCATCTCTGTTCTGCTTTCTACCAGATGGAGTACTTAACAGAGTCCCCCCCCTCCCCCCAAATAACCTTTTCCATAGGAGGTTGCAGAGGAAGCTAAAGGTTACTTTTTTGATACTTTCACTTAGGATGCTGCCCCAGTTTCCAGAACAGAAGATGTGAAGGCTTCATACTCTCCTCTCCCCCCCGCCCCCGTTTCTTCTATTTTCTTTCTTTTTCTCCATTTGTTCTTTTAAAAACCTCTGGCCGAAATTAATTCAGCCCTCAAGGGGGCAAGTTCTTCACAGCTTGAGTAAAATACTATACGCTTTTCAACCAAGCAGTCTTAGCCTAGCTTTGTTCAGTAACTGGGGAGGATTCTCATCTATGTGGCCTTTATGAGAAAATCAATATATTTTAGCTCTTCTGTATGAAGTTTAAATTTAATCTGTGTGGATGATTTTCCCCCTGGCCTTGCTTATTTAAGAAATAATATCCATAGCTCAGGTGTATGCAGAGCAGTAAACCAAGCCTGTTCTTCATTAAATGCTGGAGCAAAGGTGTTTAATCTGACAGCAAACTCCATTTATATATCATAACTGCTCTGGAGCCATGAAAATTGATACCATTGTCAGATGAGAGAGCAATTTCACAGATATATTCCTGTTTCAAGAACGGTTTCTCTACTGGTCTAGTTGCGCAAGCCTTTTTCTTTCCTCTGGAAGTTATATCTACTTCATCTTCTTTGATTCCACGCTCATGGAAATTCATAAACACATAATAACTCTGCTGAATCAGACCAATCTCGGCTGTTGATGGGAGACAACTGGTCGGGTGAAGACCAAAACCGCATTTGTCTAAACAGCAAATGTGTGCTCAAAAAAGGGAGTTGAAAAAGACAACATGTTCAGGCTTTTTGCCTGCAGGGGGTTGGTTTCAGAATCTGTGGCCCAGTGCTGATGTCCTGTCCTGCCCTTGTCTGCCTGTGTGCCGGCTTCTGTGCCTCTTACAATGCCTGCTCAATGTGTGTATTTCTAAACAGGCATACTATTGCAAACACACAGGGGAAGCCTCCTATGCTCTCTTCTTCAAAGGAAACTTTGTAAAAGCTACCCTAAATTTTCCAGAGACAAAAAGCACACAAAATAGCACTTTGAAGGGAGCCACGGGGTGCTTGCAAGGCTTTTAGATTTCAGTCCTTCCGCTCTACTTTGGAAGAGAAAGAGAGACTGCTAGTGGGGCACTAATAGCTTTCAAGGAGGTATAAATGGCAGCTAAAGGGACCTTAGCAGCACAGGCATAATAATATATCTTAAGAGTCCTAATTAGGCTTCTTTGTAAACAGTCACTTGTCTGGTCACCTGTGGTGAGTGAAAATGGCCTCTAGGTGATCAGGCATTTGAAGCTTCTTTTTTTCTTTTTCACAAAGTTGCAAGAGAGTTTGTCTTCCTCCTCCCCCATCTTTGTTTTTCCAAGTGATCAATGCTCCCCAAATGACTGTCATGTCTACGTCTACGTATGGACAGTCAGGTTCATAACTACATATTACTTTTTGACTGTAGCCTTGCAGTCAGGGACTGCCTTGTTTCAACTGATTGTATGCAAAGTGGTACCTCTGGTTGCAAACGGGATCCGTTCCAGAGCCCCGTTCGCAACATGAACAGAATGCAACCTGCGTCCGCGCAGGTCGCGATTTACCGCTTCTGCGCATGCGCGTGGTGTCATTTTGAGCGTCTGCGTGAGTGGCAAAATCTAGAAGTAACCCTTTCTGGTACTTCCGGGTCACCGCGGGACGCAACCTGAAAAGATTTAACCTGAAGCAAACGTAACAAGAGGTATGACTGTATGCCAATCTGGGAGCCTTTTTTGGCTGAAGAGCAAGGTACAAATGCTGTAAATCAGGGGTCGGCAAACTAAGGCCTGGGGGCCGGATGCAGCCCTCCAGGCTCGTAAATCTGGCCCACGGACCCTGCCACCCACTCGGTCAGTCCCCTCGCGCTGTGGACGCCTCGCCACGCGGGGATTGTCTTCCGTGATGCTGGCGCAGCTTCAGATTGGCTGCATGAAGTTTCTGCAGCCAATCCGAAGCCTCGCCGCCTGCAGCAGAGGTAAACCCGGTGCTGCCATGGATGGAAAGGGCGGGGGGCGGGTCTGGGCCACGCCATGGGCATTGCGCGTCGCAGGGCTTCAGGCAGAGCTTGGTATGTCTGCTGCCGCTGCGCCTGGCGCCTGGCTCGGCGCTGCTGCTGGTGGTGCGCTGGGTGGCTGCACTGGAACAGCTGGAGGGCGAGCTGCATGCCGCCTGCCAGTGCTCCGCGTGCACCACCTGCCCACCAACCTAGCCTCGGACTTTGGGGCACAGCACGTGGTGCACACCATCTGGGAGCTCCACAGGGATGGGCCGATGGAGTAGCTGCTGCTCGTCAACAATGCTGGTGAGCAGGAAGCGCCGAGACGCGCTCCTGAGCGCATGCAGAATGTGTTCCTTCTCCAGGTCCGGAGGCAGCTGGAGAGACTGGCTTGCAGAGTATTTATACTTTTCAAAATATAGTCAGGCCCCCCACAAGGTCTGAGGGACAAGGTCTGATGAAAAAGTTTACTGACCCCTGTTCTTAATAAACAGTATCTACGTTTATTGACTTATTTGGCTCTTG